AATTAAGCATGGTTCAAAGAGCAATAAAACAATATAATTTTAGTAGAAACTGATGTATACTGTTATTAGTTTTAGCTATTTAGAATAGACTATTCTAGTTTCCAGTTACAAATTGAAGTCATTCTAGAAAAAAAAAAAGGTAACCTAAATTTATTTTGTTTGTATTTTTTTTTTTTATGGTACTTATGAAGTCAGTCAATTTGACCAACTCTGCATAGAGTTAGGGTAGAGAAAACAAATAAAATAGAGTTTTAGTGAAGAAAAAGCATTTGAAAGTTATTTAGGAGGTTCTAGAGATTACACAAATGAAATTTAACAATTTTCAGATGAAGAAAAGTATTTTTAATTTCAACATGAAAATCACTTTGATTTCATATATTCATGGAGAAAGTTTTAGTATAAATATCTCATTAAAAACCCTGATTTTTTGTCACTAAAAGACTTAATGCTTTCAAAATTTTGTGAAGATACACAAAACATGTTAAAAGTTATACTATGAAACCCTATGGGTCAAGATTTAGGTCCAATCAACCGAGCTTGTAGCAAGAGAGTTAACTAAGCTGATTTAGCATGCTTTTAATATACCTTAGATCATTAAATTGTACACTTAAACATTTTTTAAGTAAATCTATTTTGTGCAGCAAAATTCAAAGGCCCTCAAAAAATGCATCAAGTGACCAAAATAGATATACCTAAAATGGAGTTGTTTTGCTGTCACTCTGGCCTTCTATTTTCTACAAAGATATATGTACGTGGACCATGAAGTGTGCCTAGTATTTATTATCATGTTGGTTATAAATACTGACATACAAAAGAAACATTTCTTTCAGAAATACTAGCTTTACCATATCCTCTTATTATGGTAACTCTGTAACTTGACATTTGAAGCAAATCTCACAATTAGCACTATTTCTTTGACAATAATATATCATCCTCAGAACTATTTCTTTGTTGAGAAAACCATATTTGGAACTATTTTTTATGTTCCAAACAGCTCAATTCTTAACTGTGGGAATACTTCAATAAAACTTTTTAATTGTCCCTTGTCCAAAGAAGCATTCATTAAGGTAGCTTGACTTGAAAACTTTCAATAAATACAATATGGAGTTAGCAAGGAAATATCATTTTAATACTCAAACCTAATAATATTCATCATGATAATACCAGTGTGTGCATGTCCACTGAAGAGGATAACAAATTTCCAGTTATTACATGGCAGATTTTTTCTTTGAAAGGCTTACTCTTTAGAATTTTTTTTTAATTTTATGAACACTACTGGTGAATAATTTTTGTATTTGAAAGAATTATAGATCTCATTATTTCTGAAAAATATTTGTCTCTCAAAGTCCCACTGTCAAAACTTTGTACTAACAGCATGTATATTTCTTGTGCATACATGATGTTTCTGTGACTTTAATAGACTTTTTTCCAATTTACTTTAAGAATTTAATATGCAATCACAATACATCATTCTTTATTTCTAATTAAAATTAAATTTATAAAATAAAATGTATAGTCTGCTTATCAATAACATACTTTTTTCAATAACAATCAAAGTAGAAAAAACATTAACTCTTTCTACATGGGCTCGGGCAAATTAACTGACCATGTGACCACTTTGTTTAAAGTCCTTATAGTTTCGATACTACTAATTTTTAATATAGTAAACATTAAAAGACTTTCACTTTTTAGTGAAGTATTTTTAATATACTAAAAAAAGATTTGTCCATTAAAATAGAGTCTTTTTTTACTAGTCCAAGTGCAAAGTGATTTTCATGTTAAGATTAAAAATACTTTTTTCATCTCAAAAATCTTAAATTTCATTTGCATAATCTCTAAAACCTCTTAAATACATTTCAAATATTTGTTTTCAGTAAAACTTTATATTTTGTTATTTTCTCTATGCTAACTTTATACAAGGTTGGTCAATTTAACGGACTTCGTAACCACCAAAGGAAAAAATTGAAATAAATATAAATTACCCTTGTTTTATTTCTAGAATCACTTTAAACTGTAGCATGAAACTACAATTGTTTATCCTAAGTAGCTTTAAACTCATAACAGTATACATATATTTATACTTAAATTTATTGTTATATTGCCCTTTGAACTGTGTCTAACTACTACTCACATCATTATAAGTTGTAAATCACTTGGGGAACATGGAGCTCATGTTACGCTATTAAATTACATTAACCACAAGTTACTCCAAACTGCTCTCGTGCGTGCCTCATGAAACATTTTTATTATATTATTATTATTAATTTTATCTAATCTAACTTTAACAAACCTAAAGAGATTCCTATTTTACATTTTAGTTACTTTTATAATAACTAATAGAGAATACACATAAAAAAACAAAAAATAAAGTATCTACCTGGGTCTATTTTTTTGCTGTCAACTGTCAATGACACTTAACCCTACTTTTTTTTTTTATACTAATAGTAGTAATGTATTAAATAATTTTTATTTAATTAAATAATACACCAAAAAACATGGAATAACAACATGCAAAAAACAGACAATGTTCCATAACTATCATAACTTTTCTGGCTTTCTATATATGTGACAAAAGCCATTACAAATTCATCCACACTAATCAATATATTTCCCATTAGAACGAAGCTTGTACTAAAACAGAAACTGACATTTCTCTGTTCAGAAAACAATGTAATACAATATGTCATTTGATAAATGAAAACCTTGGCTTTCTATTGGTTATAAATAATGTAATATTGAACATAAGAGAGAACTATTAACAAATCCTGAAAGAAAGGATGTGACAGGTGGGTGTGGCAAGATGGGTCTGATTTTCTATTTGATGGCTCTCTAACCAAATAAGAGTGAAGGCTATAAAATTTATGTTTTGTTTGAGTGATGACAATTTAACAGGGAGTAATTTACATTAAATTCCATACATATTGGATGGGTGGTGAATAAATTTCAGAAAAGACATACCTAAAGAAACAAATGTCACATTTCTCACACTAAGGGAAATTCAGTATTTTTTTAAAATATTGCCTTATAAAATCAAGAACTTAAAATTTATACACTATTAAAATATGGATTATTTGCTGTGAGTTTATGCTTTACTAATTGGTACAACATAAACAAAAAGTAGTTTAATTAAACTTTTAATGTAAGTCACTATAAGCCTTGTGATGTGCAGTGAAGGATGCCTGTTGTGAAAGGGTTAAATTGTGGTCTATTAAAGTATGACTTTCATATTAACCCTTTCTAAATGGGCTCCTGCATTCTACATGACATCGTAACCTCCATGAAGGTATGTGTATTATAACTCTGAAAGTACTTAATGTATCTTCACAAAATTTGGCAAGCTTTTATGAAACATTACAAATCTTTTGCACACACACAAAAAATTATTTTTAATTCAGCATTTTTACTAAAAATTTGTATGTGAATATAAGAATTCAGTGTTGACTGTTCTCATTGCAAAGTGATTTTCATGTTAAGATTAAAAATACTTTTTATCTGAAAATTGTCAAAGTTCATTTGCATAATCTCTGAAACCTCCTAAAGAAATCTGTTTTTTGCAGTAAAACTTTATATCTCATTTGTTATTTTCTCTTTCCTAACTCTACACCCATTCAGTGAATTTGACCAATCTTGTATAACCATCATAAAAAAATATGAAATAAATCGAAATTACCCTTTTTTCATTTTAGAATGACTGCAATTTGTAATATGAAACTACACTTGTTTATAAAAAATAGCTTAAAATTTGTAACAGTATGCATCTGTTTATACTTAATTTTTTGTTTTATTGCCCTTTGAACTGTGTAAAACTAGTTGTAAATCACTCAGCAACTGTGCAGCTCACATTATCACATCAAACTGCATAATGCTCAAGTTGCTTACAAGCATACCTTATTAACAATTATTATTATTATTTCTCTACCATGATAAGAATGTAGTTTAATTAAATTTTGAATGTAACTCAGAAAAACATAGTGACATTAACAGAAAACGATACCTGTAGTGAGAGGGTTAAACTACTTAGCTAATAAAAATCTTAGTTTCAATCCTTTCAAAATAATTCATAAAAAGTGCAAAACAATCTTAAGGACAGAAAAAGATAGCAAAAATATCTTCCAAGAATTTGTAAATGGATAATAAGACAAATTAATTAACTTCAAGATATTTTAAAAACTATTATTCATATTACAAATAAACAACAAAACTACCATTTATAAATGGAAAGTGTACTGTATGTCACTTCAAAGATGTAAGAATCCTAAGCTCTTTATTACCCAATTAAAGAAAATAGTCTCTCAAGCAACATGGAAACATATGGTGTAGCAGGGTTGCGAAAATGTAGGCCTGTTTCACTACCAAATTCATGCAAAAATCCACCTTTCTTTGCTACCTGAAGAAAAACAATACAAAGTAAGTAGACTTATGATTTAAACAGTCCTATAATATCATGAGCATCCTGAAAAAAAAATACTGATTCTTTGAATAAATAAACTTGTAGCCAATGAAAGATTAGATTAAAAATTGACTCTCCATAAGTCTTAAATGACAACTACATTAATACTTTTTTAATGTAACTTGATTTTTTAGAAAATTTCTCTGGAAAAAAACCCTTTAAAACTACTGGCTTTTAAACTCATGATATGGATAACAACAGTAATAAAATCCATTGACACCACAAACAAACAATCCTATTTCAGTATGAAGTATACACATACAGATCTATTCAATTCTTCACTGATGAATTAATGAATACTTTTGACTTAACTGTTAAATGCTCAAAATAAGAATATCTTAGATGTAAAACAACTATTATTATATTTTATTTATTCCAAAGATACCTCAAAATCATCTGGCCATCTAGACCGTTTGATAACTCCCAGGATGGTTGACACACAGTAAATTATCTAAAAAGATGAAAATAATGTCTGATGAATAAATGTTCGTAGAGTTTTCCATCTGATATTAATAAAATGTTTACTATTATTTAAATACATAACTTCATCCAATTGTGCATGACCCATGAATGAAAGAATCATAAATAGAAATGTGTCACAAGCTTAACAACATGCTGAATGCAAAGTAGCATTAACTGCTAAGCTTTTCTAGAACTGGTAGGTTGTCACACGAAAAAAACTAGAGAGATTAAGATATTAACTGACTACTCGGGACTAAAACCCTTTTCAGAAGAACATAACAGCTTGACTCAAAACATGGTCAAAAACAATAAATCATACACATGTTCTGAAATACAAGTCACAGCATAGTAGGTTTATGCAAAAACACATTTTGTTCAAGATTTAAATGTTTTCCTTACTTTAAGATCTCATGCAACTTGCTAATGTTTTTTAATCTTTTACAGAAAGTTAGTTTAATCAAAATTTTAACTTATACAAGTTGACAAAACCATTTGGACACTTCACAGCTATAAACAATTAATGAAAATTAAAATAATTTGAGGTAAATATTTAATAAAAGTTTTTTGTAAACTATCCTGAAAAAATAAAAAAGTTGAAAACCTTAACAAGTGTATTTGTATCGAACCTGTGACCTGTTAATTCCCATGATGTCATCACTACCTGGTTCTACAGGGGGACGATCAAGGCCAATATGAGACATAAAGGTTTCTACTGAAAAAAAAGCCCTGAAAATAACAAATATTAATATATTTAAAACTATTATTAAAATTAATTCCTCATAATATTATTTGTTTTTACTTTTTCTACTTATTTTTCCCAAACAGGAAAAGGCTTAAATCTTGGTCAATATTCACTACCAGCTTATTTCATTAATTTTATACATACTTAAAGATCAAATAAATTTTCTTTAACACAAGGATCTTTTAAATCTTAGGATTCATGGGTAAGAAAACACCCAAATGTACAAGTACTGGCTTGATCCAAGAGACCCTTCCTAAGCACTGTAGGGTTAACCAAAACATTCACCTTCCAATGCTCTAAAATACTTTGAGCTGTATGAAGTACTATACATTATTATATTTCATAGTATTATTGCTTACATAGGAAGTATATGAATACCTAATAAATACTGTAACAAGTAATGGAATCTACACGACTGTACACTAACTCTCTCAACACGGGCTCAATCAATCTGACTGACCACATGACATCTTTGTACTCATTTACAGTCTTTATAAATTTAATACTTTTAACTTAGTGTGTATATCTTCACAAAATTTGGCAGTCTTTCATTTAACATTAAAAGTCTTTCACATACAAAAAAACATATTTTTAGTGAAGCATTTTTCATAAACTAAAATAAAGATTTGTCCATGAATATATTGAGTATTTGTTTTGAATAGTCCATGTGCAAAGTAATTTTCATGTTAAGATTAAAAATACTTTTCTTCATCTCAAAAATCTCAAATTTCCTTTGTGTAATCCGTCAGATCTCCTAAATATATTTCAAACGTTTTTTCAGTAAAACTTTATATTTTATGTTATTTTCTCTACCCTAATTCTATACAAGGTTGGTCAATTTGACCCACATTGTAACTACCAAAAACAAAATCGAAATAAACCTAAATTACCCTTTTTCTTTCTAGAATGACTTTAAATTGTAACATGAAACTACATTCGTTTAACTTAAGTAGCTTAAGCTTGTAACAGTATACATCTATTTATAATTAAATTTCATTATTTTATTGCTATTTTGATTGCTCTTTGAACCATGTCTAGCTACTATTCGCACCATTATAAGTTGAAAATCACTCAGGGAACATGCAGCTCATGTTACACTATCAAATTACATTACCCATGAGCTACTATGAGCTGCTTGCGTGCGTGCCTCATTAAAAATTTTTACTATATTATTATTATTATTTATTTTACCTAATTTAATCTTAACTAATCTAAACAGATCCACATTTTTACATTTTAATTACTTTTACAATAATAAATAAAGAATAAACATGAAAAATAAGAAATAAAGTACTTACCTAATCTTTTTTCTTGCTGTCGATTGTCAATAAAAGTTAACCTTACTTTTTTTATACTA